GAATTAGTCATTGTGAATTTGTGGTCCCCAACATATCCCCTGTTGTACACTAGCAAAAAGAGCTTCATTATATTTGTATTATACCAAAACACCTGTAATGTGGCCTACTGTTCTATATGCATGTTTCTTTTTCTCTGGGTAACCTAATTGATATGTTAATCAATTCTCTCCTCTGTGAAGAATTGTAAATCCCTGGGGTCCTAACCTAATTGATATGTTAACCATTGTGGCCCTCTACAAATAACAGATGTGGTGCTAAAATAAGGTAACAAAAGGTTGTTAATTGCTGCTAGACTCCTCTGTTCTCTGCTGAGGAAAACAAAGATCTTCCTCATTAGCTGATTTCCTGATCCACGCCCATACCCCTTACTTTGTAAATAGTGATATGTACATAAAGGCTACATGGGCCCAGGATAACATAAATCAGCGCTGCTTTTTAAAATATGTTTTTGTCTCGTTTTTGAACTCAAGTTTGGGGGCTCATTTTTGGATTACAAGATCCCCCTTTTGATTTTGTAATTATAGCAGATGAAATAGCATACAGCCTATAATGGCCACCATAGCAAAAAAGATATTCTCAGGAGTTTGTGGGAGGCCCTATCATGTCACCAGGATGTAAGACTCCTGCGTTATCTCCTTTAGTCGTCCCATCTCATGAGTTTTGTAGTCTGTTTGTATCCCAGTACTTGTGGTGTCAGGCTTTTCTCCAGAATCATCTTTGAGGATCCTCCCACTGGAGGGCTGAATGGGTGCAGGATCCACCATGGGGCTGGGATGCTCCTCTCCCCGTGATCACATGTCCTATGTTCCACAAACGTTGCTCATTCAATTATTCTTAAATTTTTCTTAAAATATCTTTTATGCAGCTCTTGTTCTTCAATGTTTTTTTTTTTTTTTGAATATTTGGAAGCCAAAATATTTTTTAAAATGCTTGAAAGATTGTTACAGAAGTTAAGTGCTCTGTCTCTTGCTCTTAGGTTCTTGTTTTGGGGTAACAAAGATAAGAGACTGAAGCTAACAAAATAGCAAACAGCAAAGGGTGGGGACTGGCCAGATGCATGCGTATTAGAAAGAATAAAAGGAAACACACCCAACTCATTCAGGAGAAGTGTTCTGTAAGGCACACGCTGTAGACGTTTATGCCCATTATACACTTTTAGGTTTTGGTGTTTGTGATGGAAATTAGAAATGCTCCTGGTTGCAGGTAGTAGGCCTTTGATGTCCTTAATGTAAGCTGCTTCCTTTGTATTCACTTCCTCCAAGGTCTCTCATTTGGTTAAAGACCTGTTTCTCATCCATTGTATTCCACTAGGCCCTGACAGCATTTTTACTTAAGTTAACTACTGGGGTCCTCTGGTATGTTAACTCCCTGAAGTCCCAACTATTAGTTTACTTTAGATTAATGATTCAGGTCCTCTGCCCTATCTGCCTAACTTTTTCTGGCACTTTGCTTTAGAAGCATTTTCACTATATGCAAATTTTTATTATACTGTTTTAACCAGTTAACTACCTTTCCTACAGATACCCTACTGAGTCAATGTGCTCCAGGCTGGGCTGTCCTGTAAGAGCCAGTAGAATATCCATAGTTCTCCTTTAGATGTGGTTTCTCAGTAGTTTAACTTGTCCTTGTAGATTATAACTAATATTTTACTGTTAATGTAGACTTACTTGTGGATCTTTTAGTTTTAATAGTTTTATCCTATCTATAGTCTGTTTTTTCATTTTTAGTTGAACACATGTTCAATTTAGGTTGATGGTTCTATTTCTTAAGAATACCAAGAAGGAGATTTTCCTTGCAAATTTTTTCTTTTTTTCTTCTCATACATATTTTTTATTAGTATATGTTTGTACTACAGAATGTTTGCATTTCTTGTGTGGAGTTGGTGTATGTATATAGCATATCTTAATTCCATTTTCATCCCCTTTCCTCCTCTTCCTCCACTCTGCCTCCATCTCTTGATCTCCTTCCCATATGAGGAAGATCTGTCTTCATACTTCCTATTACTTATCTTTTATTTTCCTCTAGATTTATAGTTTGAATTTTCCTTGCAAAATTTCTTTCTGAAAACAATCTTTTTTTTTTTTTTTTTTGGTCTTTTTCATTTTTATCGGTACCAGGGATCGAACTCACGACTGCCTGCTTGCAAGGCAGGCGCTTATGCCGCTGAGCTAAATCCCCAGCCCCTCTGAAAACAATCTTATGCTATTTGAAAAATTTCACTTGTAGATCGTATCTAACAAATCATTTGATAATTCAGGATATATGTAGATAGTGTAAGAAGTAGAATTGAAATAACCCAATTTGTTTTGTTTTGGGAAATTTTTATAAAAGTGGTTTTAATTTTGTCTGCACTGGAATCATTTTCTTGTTATATACTTTCCTTTGTGTATTTTGGTAAATTGTTGTTTTTCACAAAAAATACATAATCAGTTAGTTTTGTTTCAGCATTGTGTTTTAATATTATTTACTCCATCATACTGATAGGGGCATAAATTCAAGTCCCTCTAGGCTGAACCAAGGAGCAAGAACTTTTGATTAAATGGGAAATGGTGTGCAGCTGTGAATTCATTGCTCTCATAGGTAAGTCTCCCCCAGTCTTGCCTCTAAGTTAAGTCTACATGAAGCTTTCAATAATTTAAATTAGTCCCTACCAGCAATAAGGTAGTCATAAAGGACATTGTACTAAGAGAGAATAAAATGACATTATAGGCAATCCAAACCAGTGTTTAACTATCTTTCCCATTCTCCTGTTCTTACTCAGATATGCAAAGTAAATGAAATGAAGCTTGAGACTGTCATGCTAATGCTAAGCTAAGTAAGTCAGACTCAGAAAGTTAAATACTGTATATGTTATCTTATATGAGAAGCTTAAAATATAAATGAAGGAAAGAAGGAAGAAAAATGACAGGAAATTAGAAAGTAGATTCTTGGAAATGGGGACGTGAATTGAAGGGAGAGGAAACAGAGAGAGAAGTACAGGAATAAAATGATTAAGATATATTATATGCATGAACCGGTTACACAAAACAAACATCACTATTCTATATAAGAACATGCAATAATTTTAAAAATAAATTATATACCATGTAGTATTATTCAGTCATACATAAAAAAGAACAAAACTATGTCATTTGCGGGAAAATGAATAGAACAAAAAAATATCATTTTAAGTGAAACCCAGACTCAGAAATTCAACTATCATTTTTTCTCATATATTTTTCTTATATGTGGAATCTAGGCAGTGTGATGGTGGTGCTGGAGAGAACATGAAAGTAGAAGAAATGCTATTAGAGAAGAAGATAGAGGTCAGGAAGAGAAAAAAGGAGGGTAAGAGATAATCATGGAGTGTATATGTTCAAATCATGTTGTATGTATGTAACAGTAAAATCCATTATTCCATCACTAATATGAACCAATTAAAAACAAAACACTTAAAAGAATTTTCAGTCAGCAAAATGTTGTTTCTTCAGCTTTTCAATTTTCTTTTTTATTAGACTCATTCTGCAAGGCTTCTTCAGCCTCACTCAATTCCATCACCATCTCTGTCTGTAGTCTCTCTCTACCCCACTTCTTCCCTTCCTCCCTCTTTCTATTAACTCCATTCTAAAATCCCATCTCTTTCACAATACCACAACAGCTCTTGAAACAAATCCAAAGAAATTTTATTTTTTATTTTATTTTATTTAATTTTATTTTTTATCGCAATCAGTAGAAAAACAGGAGCATCAGGTTTCAGGTGTTCATCTATTTAGCTAACACATATGAAGGGTGGTCCCCTAGCTACGCACTTGGGGTCACTGAAAAAACACGACTGAACGATTCTGTCTCTATCTTTCAATCATATTTCATGGAAAAGGCAAGATAAAGATCCAGTGGTTGTCATAAATGTAGCAGATAAAATGAAAGGGACACACAGGCTCCTAGGGGGCTACAGAGGATGGGACTCTGATTCATTCTGTAGAGGATGGAGAGAGGGAAGGTAAAGTCAGAAAAATTTTCCTAATGAAACTAACCAAGTCTTAAGAAATAAGTTTACTGGATCAGGTAATAATCAAAAAGTGTTTTCAAGGAGAGAGAAGTCTCTCCAAAAGCAAAGGCTTGTGTCAAAACTTACATTTTAGAGGACTAACAACAATTTTGTAAAGTATATATTTATAACTCTATGTACCTACATAATTTTAGAATCCTTCTGTACGCTGTCAACCCTAACACAGTCTTATGCTGTCAGATTCATAAATTAGAGACTTAAACACACTCCCATGTTCTCATTTTGATGACTTCCAGTCAACCACTTTCAGGATATGGTCTCAAGATCATTGACTTGGCATGTGTGGTCCACCATGATCCAGTTTTTGCTTCTTTTTCCAGACTCTTCTATGATCATGAAATTTGTCAAATGTCAAACAGTTTATATGATAAATCAAATTCAAATATGAGCTACATAGACATAGGAATAAGACATTTTCCAGTGATAGGAAAGCAGCAGAATAGGGTGATCTTTTAGAGGTCACTGACAATGTTTGCAACACTGCTCACATGGGAATGCCTCTGAAACTTCCAGAGGTGGCATGGTCATGGCAAGTGCATGAGTCAAATGGTGTTTCTATTTTTAGTTTTTTGAGGAGTCTCCATACTAATTTGTATAGCGGATATACTAGTTTGCAACCCTCCAACAATGTTTCTTTTCCCTTGCATCCTTGCTAGCATTCATTGTTTTGTTGTGTTCTTCCCCCCTACATTTTAATGTCAGCAGAGTAATTATACAAAACAGGGGGGTTCATTTGTGCAGATTTATACATACACATAACATACTTTAATTATTTCCCCATATTATCCTTCTTTTCTACCTTCCCTCTTTGACCAACATTTTTTGTTTCAATATGCATAATGTATTTTGATTATACTCACGCTCTTTATTGCCCAGTTTGTCTTCTTTCCCTCCTCTTTTTTCAGAGTTATTTTGATTTACATTTTCCTATGGCTAAACACATTGTAAATTTTTTCTATATACTTATTAGTCATTTGTATTTCTTCTTTTGAAAAGTGTCTATTGAGTTCATTTGTTCCTTTTTGATCAGGTCATTTGTTTTGAGGGGGTTAATTTTTTTGATTTATTCATATATTCTAAATATTAGACTATCAGAAAAATAGTTATCAAAAACTTTCAAGCTGTGAGATATGGCATGCTTGTGTAATCTTAGCACTCGGGAGGCCAAGGCAGGACAATCCTTGCAAATTGAAAACCAGCCTGGGCTACAAAGTGAGCTCAAGGCCTGCCTAACCTGCACAGTGAGACTGTCTCAAAAAGACAAAAAAAAAAAAAAAAAAAATTCCTTCCATTTTGTAGGCTACTTTTTGTCGTGTTGATTGTTTTCTTTACAGTGCAGAAGTTTCTTAATTTGATATAATCCCATTTGTTGATTCTTGGTATTATTTTCTGTATCTGCATTTCATTCAGGAGGTTTTTGTCTATGCCCACAGCTTCAAATGTTTCATCTACGTTGTATTCTAGAAGTTTCAATGTTTCTGTTTTTCTGTTTTCTGTTTAGGTTTTTAATTCGTCTTTATTTGATTTTGGTACAGCGTGAGAGATAGGGATGCAGTTTCAATATTATTTAAATGGATACCCAGTTTTCCTACCACCATTTGTTAAAGAGGGTGTCTTTTTTCCAGGGTATGTTTTTGGCTTTTTTTTTGGTCAAAATTTGAATGTCTGAGGATGTGTGGGATCATATTTGTGTCTTGTGTTCTAGTCCTTTGGTCAAAAGTGTCTGTTTTGCCAGTGACATGTTATTTTTCTCACAATGGCTTTGTAGTGTAACTTGAAGCCTGGTATTATGATTCTTTTTGATTAAGATTATTTGTCTATGATGGATCTTTTCTGATTCCATATAAATTTTAAGATTGTTTTCTTTAGTTATATGAAGAATATTATTGATATTTTAATAGATATTGGTTTACAATTGTGTTCACATTGCCATTTTCATGATATTAGTTATTCCCATCCAAGATCAAGGGATGTCTTTCTATTTTCTTTTTTTTTTTTTTTGTCTTTTTCCTTTTTATCGGTACCGGGGATCAAACTCACGACTGCCTGCTTACAAGGCAGGCGCTTATGCCTGCTGAGCTAAATCCCCAGCCCGTCTTTCTATTTTCTAGGGCCTTCTTCAGTGTCCTTCTTCAGAATTTTATAATTTCCATTACGGAGGTCTTTCAATACTCCATCGTTAGGTTCATTCTTAGATATTTACATTTTTTAAAAAGCTATTGTGTATGAAATTGTTTCCCGGATTTCTTTCTCAGAGGATTCATTATTGATCTACAGGGACAATGTTGATTTTTGTTGGTTGGTTTTGTGTGCTGACACATTTACTTTACACACTTATCTATTGATGGACACCTACACTGGTCCTGTGTTTGCTGTTGTGAACTGTGCCATAATAAACATGGGTATAGATATCTCTATAGTGTGCTGAATTATGTGCTTCGTAATACAATGCAGAGTGGGACAGCTGAGCCTCAAGTGTGTTGTATTGGTTTTCTGAGAAACCTCCATCATGATTTTAACTATGGCTGTACTAATGTACATTCTCCTAAACAGTGTTTCTTTTACTCTGTATACTCTCAACAGTTATTGGCTTTTTGGAGGTTCTCTGGATGATAGTCACTCTAATAGGGGTAAAGTGGATTCTCAATGTAGTTTTGCTTTGCATTTCCCTTATGGCTAGAGACAAAAATTTTTTCTCATAATCATTGACCATTTTACTTTTGAAAAGTATCTGTTCAGTTCATATTTCCATTTATTGATTAGATTGTTCTTTTGGTTTTACTTTTTTGAGATATATTCTGGATATTGATACTATCATAATAGTGCATGGAAATGCATATTTTTCATTTTGTAGTTTGTCCCTTTATTGTGTACAAAATTTTACATTTGACATAATCTCCTTTGTTGATTCTTGTTATTATTTCCTGACCGATTGCCTACACCTATACTTTGAAGTGTTTCCCTTATGTTTTCTTCTAGCAGTTTCAAAATTTCTGGTCTTCCATTATGATCGTATTTCTGAAGATGATTTTTGGACAGGGTAAACTGGGGATCTATTTCAGTCTTATACATAGGGTACCCAGTTTTCCAAGCATCACATGTGCTGATTGAAAATTCTTGTTCAATCTTTTTTCCAGTTAGATTTGCTGGGATATCAACCAAGATAAATACACTTAGTTCCAGCCCTCCAAAATCTTTCAAACATGGGAAAAACAAAATTTTAGGTTGAAATGTACGAATGTTGAGGGTTAGTGGTGCAGAAGTGAGAACCCCAGGACACTACCTGGAAAGAATTGTAATCTATCGTGGCTGGATCCTAGTATGGAGAAGGGTGTTGATGAAAGCTTTGAACGTGAGGTCAGAGGTGGGCAGCATGAACTCTGATTATTTCTGAATGCAGGAAAAGTTTGACTAGAACTTCTCAGAGCTGGAATCTGACAGCAGTTTGAGAATAGATTAATACGCTCTCTTTTATTTTCTCTGCCTTTGCTTTCCTTTCTCAGCCAGGTTCATGAATATAACATACGGTTAGAGATTTGCTTCCTGGGTGCTGAGTTACACTATAAGATATAAAGAAGAGACAAGTAGAATCCCTGTGTATAAAGCAAGTCTGCTTCTCAAGCTGATGCCTTCCCTGGTTTGCTCCCAGTACAGTTAGGCAGGTACTCACATGGTGTGTTTTAGGATTGTGCTTTGGGGAGGTGTGTTAATCAAGTTACTTTAAGAAAATGGAGCTGGTAAAAAACATCAGCATTTGTATATCATTATCTTATCTGTGTATCCAAGAAGACATTTATAGTAATGTTTTGCTCATATTACTGTGCAGGCTGAGGAGGTCCCTGGTCTGCCTTCTGCAAACTGCAGATGCCGGAAAACGGATGGCATAGTGCCTGGACCTGAGAGTTGAAAGCTGATGGTATAGAGGCCAGCCTAGGTCTCAAGGCCTGAGAACCAGGAGCCCTGAGGACAGGAGATCTGTAGCCCAGCTCAAGAATTAAGGCAGAGAGCAGACAAATTCAACCTTCTTCCACCTTTACGGTTTAGTCAAGCCCTCAGTGAGTTAGATGGTGCCCCCCACAGTGGAGAAGCCTATCTGCTTTCTTTTATTCAGTCTGTGAATTCAAATCTTTATCAATCTTTTTTGACACATTCGCAGACCTAATCAGAAATGATGTTTAAGCAGATATGTGGACATCCTGCGACACAGCCATATTGACACAAAACTGTCATGGGGAGCTACTGACATGATACCCTCTTCCTTAACATTGCATGATGTATT